AATCAAATTGTTTGTCACAAAATGTTGTTTTATATTTTTTTTTTTACGCTCTTCTCAGTTTTAATTCGTGCAATTGCCTTTAAAACAACAAGCAGTTCATTGCCTAAACGTGATAACGAAACACATTAAATAGAAGAAACAATCACGGCTTAATGCTAATAGTAATTACTGGAGACATTTAACAGAAATGAAACAATTTTAATTAATTAAATATTCACAACTGATTTCTAGCACGCTTTTTACATTTTTCACTATTTTTTATGGCTCCATTTGAAATGTGTATAGAACTATTTACTGAGTCAACTGAGTTGCTGTATATTAATGATAAGTGGAAGTATTTTGGAATAATATATTCTGACATCAAAAACGTTAAACAATGATTTTCTGTATCACAAATTGTGTAATTATTCCTCAATATATTTAGTGCTGTTAACTGGCATTTTCGTGAAATTAGTGGAGCTTCAAACCGGAGCTGAGTCAGAAAAAACTGATATTCATGCTACAGCGAAAAGTAAAACTTGATTCAACAATATATCTTGATATAACACAAAAAAAATCGGTAATACAAAATTATTAATCCTATATTTCTAAAGAATTGAATATTCTATAAAGTTTACTAATCATATTTGACCATATAAAATAATTAGACAGAAGAAATAATTATGGAGTGCACATAAATAAACACATCCTTATTTAACTGACAAACATATATAGCATAAGCTGTATTAGTGATGGAAAAAAGTGTAAGGGAGCTTTTCGGGATGGAAATTTATTTTCAGGAATAATAGAAATAGTTTAAATGAAAGTATATTAGAAGTTTTAATAATAATAAAAGGCAATATGTAATTAATAATAAACATTAATTACAAACAATGAATCAAGTCATGATAAAACATTAATTTATCATATATGTACAGTTATACAGTTGAAACTAAACCGAAAACCGGAAAATTGGAATCAAATTCATATAACATTTTTAAGTCTACTGAAACCCAAAACGGAACATAAAACTTTACATTTTAAAAAATTAATGTAATTTTATAATGTAATTTTATAATTAAAAGAAATATTTCATTAAATCGAATAAATATGCAAAATAAGTACAAAACAAAGATTATTGTTTATATAACAATAGAGGAGCAATAGTTTTAGTTGAAAAGCAATAGACAAATGCGGTCTAAGAAGTGGGCAATATATGATCATTTTCGATATCAAAAACTTTAAAAATGGGCGCTCCTAGAAAAAATTTAAAATGTGGCTATTATAGAAAAGTGTTAATAGTTCACTGAAATAATTTAGAAAGAGGGTGCTCAGGAGTTTAAGCTACCACCACGAAATAAATACTTTATGGAGTATCTTAGAATAAAAGAAAAATTTTTATCTATTAAATATATCATTGATCTATCCAATTTAGTATTTAACTTTTTCCGCTGCAGAAAGATTTTGATAATTCCTTGAATTATATATAGTGCTTTGTCTAAACTATTCAGTTATTTTGAATGCGTCCTTTGTAGCCACAAACCTAGAAAAGAAATACAAGATCATTAATCAAAAATATATATAAGCGCAAAGCCGTCCAAACTGCCAATCAAAATAAACGCATTGGATTATTATTTGAAAATATGAACATATGTCTAGTAATTAAAATACCTATTTTGAGACAAGCTGTAACTTTCGTAGTTGCAATAATTTGTGCTTGAAACACAATTCAATAATCTGAGACTTACTTGCTGCTGTTCTTCTTTCCTAGTGAAGCATAAAGTCTCAATGATCAAAGAGCCTTTCGTATATATATATACAAGTTTCTTAAAGGAAATATAAATACAAGACGCTAAAAAGAGCAAGTTACTTTGAAACGTTTTAAAAAGTAATATATTACTTTTAATTTTTTAACCTCAATTTACTAAGTGTGAACACATCGTTACCTATATTGGAGTCATGAGTGACTACAGTAAAACATTATCCTAATAAAATACCCGCTCATATCAAGTTATTGTTAGATGGCAAGGCTATAGTATAGTTTGTTATAAACTTAGAGTGATGAATATATAAATAACACAATCTCAGAAGGAACTGAATAGATTGAGGATGGAACTGTGCCCATATTCATTGCCCTCCTATTGTGCAGTAGATTTATGCCATTTTTGGATGAGGCACGCTGATATTTCCTTGTCTCCCATATAGCTTAATTGGAACATATAACATATTACTGTTTTGTTGAAGGTAATTTTAAAAGTAGTTATAGAGCAAAGCAAGATAATGAAAAAGATTTTTGTAATAAAAATTATTATAGATATACCACGTTTAATATGGTACTTGCTCAATACGGTCTCCATATTACACGATACAAAATTTGTGATTATTATAATATGGACTTGTGCTACATCATACAAAACTTTAGAAATGAGTAGCGAAAAAGATTTTTTTGCAAACTTGGAGTAAGGAAATCAGTTTAACCACAGTTTTTAATGATAATTATTATATAAATTAACATTGTATTACAAAAATTATAATTATTTTTGAATTATAATATAATATTGAGTTGAATTTTTATTTTTTTTAAAACTTGCGTTGAATTTTTTTTATATTACTTACTAATTTATTTTGCCTATGTACTTGAAAGGAAATTCTAGTCTTAAAACTTGGTTTCGATATAACACGATACAAAATGCATAGTTTTGATATTAAACGAAATAACTTTTGTTACAACCTGGTAAACTACACATTGCCTTCAATGACATTTTATCAGAGGTTATATGTTACATTATATATTAGTTTAAATAAATATATGAATAAGTTCTGTATAACACGATTTCAATATAACACGGTAAAAATAATCTTCTTAATCAGGGAACACCTCTAAACAGGATTTTGCTATATTTTTATTTTAGTTCTAATACTATTTTGTGTAGTATGTTATTTTCACTATTTTTTTAATATAGTTGCGTTTCTTGATTATGAATTCTTATTAAATAATTTTGTTTTATTTTTTCATACGTTTTCGGTGTTTTAATCTAGTACTTTGACTTTTGTTTATATTACAAAAATTAATAAAATAAATACTATATATTTATAATAATTATATTTATAATATAATAATAATTAGTTACTCGTTGTTTGTAATATAGTCATAGCAATAAAAAAAAAAATATGTTATTTATATGGAACATTAACCACTTGTGTGAGTGAAGTGTATGCTCTTAGCTTGGAATTGATATGAAGTCTATTTAGTAGGACAGTTCATACGTATATGCAAATCAGTGATACTATCAATGTATGTTTTAATTACCTTAATTATGTAGTATTGAGCATTTTTTTATATAATTAGATTATATCCGGTTATAAAAACATATATTGATAACAAAAAATGACTTTAAAGAACACAAGTCTTATGGTAATTATATATTTATGATTTATAATTAAGTTTATACTATTTATTAAGGAAAAAAAGTATTAATAGAAGAACAGGAACTCATTTATTTTAATATTTATCTAAGCTTGTTTTTTGTTTATTAAAATTAATACAAATTTCAATAGAAAGATTACTTTGCCTTTGTTATAATATCTACTTAATCACTATTTTTTAATTATGCTTAAACTACTATAATAAAAGTTTAAGAGAAAATTGCTTTGCTCCAATGATCGCCACAACATTTGCTTTCACTTCCTAACATCAAAGGAAATATGTTTTTTGCTTTAATAAATTTAATGAAATACTCAGCATTTTACGGAGTATAAAAAAATTTTTTAAGCAAAATACTCCATTTGTAAGTTATTTTTATTCTAAATATTTTGTGTTTAGCTTTATCACTAAAAGATAAAAGGGTGTGTTGTTGTAAATGCAACAAAACGAAACCACTCCTAAGTCTATGAAAAAATACATTAATTGTTATTAGTAAAAAAAGATGAAAACAAAATATAAAAATATTTTTAAAAAAGAATTTTTGCATTTTTATTCTAAACAAAACTATGTAATATGTAAAGTAAAAAAGTAAATTTAAATTTGCCAAAAAAAATGTACAGAATGTACTGAAAGCATTTTTTTATGGCTTCAGGGCCCCTTAAATGGAGACTATTATGCGGTCAAATTTCGCTGCCATAAATTTATATTCCAATGCAAACAAATATGCAACATACATAAATAAAGGGGAAACGATTTGTAATCGTAAGAACAACAAAAGCAACAAAAATAATAACAACAAGAACTGCAACAGCTAAGCAATTGTTTGTAAACAATATCTCAACTTGATTTCTACTAGTTAGATATTTTGTACTTTACTCGTTACTTGTTGAAAGAGAAACATTTTTTATAAGTAAAAAGAAGGCGTTGCCAAAAACTCACAACTACCACGAAACACACAAAGATGCTTTTCACAGTGATGAAGAGATGCGTGAATAAGCATAGAAATCAGTAATACCAGTTCCAACATGTCGTACGAATGCAGATACAAAATTTTGTATCGCACAAATACAGCTGTAGTGTTCACTTCATATGAAGATACAAATGTATCTGCAACTGTTGGAGTAGTGGCACTTATGGCACAAATGTTTTCACATTTTTTTAACATTTCATTTTTGTTTCGCTCTTACACACAGTTTGACACATTGTTGTTCTGCTCTGTTCGTTGCAATCACAATGTGGCAACCAGAAATACTGTAAATATCTTGACAATCAGAAATCCAAACAAACCGTTCAACACAACCAACTAGTTTGTGTTCGAACGTGTTTAGGTGCACATCGGTGAAATGTTGAAATTATTTTAATATTAGAAAATCACAATAAACAGATAAATCGACGCATAACAGGTTGTAAACAAGTTTAAGATAAATATAAAATAATTAAAATTTAACAAATATGTTATTTAATTTTAAAATAAATTAAATCAGTAAATTGGTGCAATAGTAATTACCGTAAAAAAGAAATTATAATAAAGTTCCTTACATTTGAAAAAAAAAAAAAAAATTAAGTACTATGATATGTGTAGCTAAACAAGCCCTTTTAAAAATACTATAAGAAAAACAATATAGGGTTAAGTGCGATGAGTTCTAACAACTTCCGAACAATTTGCAAATAACTTAACACCTCCGAAGTCAACAACAAGTTAAATTATTTCATGTTAGACATATTTATGGCTACAAATAAAATCGTATAATAAATAAAAAAATCAAATAAATAAAACTCAAAACCATACTAAACCATGTCACCCAAAAAGGATACCAAAAACTGGCAGTAAAACATTCTAAAAACTGGTGGTAGAACTTTCTGCGAAAAAAAGGTTTAATTGAAATCCACATAAAAATTGTTTCGGTGCTGAATAAATAAAAAATAATAACAAGAAAAGAGATAAAAAAAAACATTTCCCACTGACATTAACATAAATGCCTGACAATTTGTTTTACCAATTTCCAACACGGAAACGGCAACAATAGCTTTTCTTCTCGTAGCTTTTCCGACGAAAGGCGCAAATAAAAACCAACATAAACATTCGACGATACAAACAAACGAACTACGCACCTTCTTCCGTTTTGAAAAAAAGGCAACAGCTACAATAACGGCAACACCGACAGCGACAGTGCTTATCATCAACATCCTTTACAGATCCTTACAGCATTTTTGGTTTGTTGTCGTTGGAGTATCTGAGTTTGGCTGTGTGTTTCTGTGCGCTACGCAAACCAAATTTATATGTGGCGGTGTGGGTGCAAATTTCGGCAGTGTACCTTAATCAAGCTGCGTTCTTTGTGACTTCACTGTTGTTGTGCTTAAGTGTAGCTTAAGTGGAGATTTGCTACAGCATCCAAAGTCACCAGTTACGTTTGTTATCAACTTTGATAAGGTTTTTATTGAATTTTGAACTTAATAACTCTGAAGGAAAATCATGAATATGGCTGCATATGCGCAGTTCGGATATGGTGGTTACCCGCCGGCTAATCAGGTAAGATACTCGTAATTAAAATATTGTTTTTACCCTAAATAACTCAATAAAATATATAAAGCGTGCTTATTATATAAATTCAGTTTTGATTGTAGATCTGAATAATTTTTTGATTAGTGTAGTTTTTGTGTTAAGACAAAAAATATTTATTAAATAAATAATATTTGTTCAACTTCGCTTTTGTATAGCGAAGAGATTACACATAACCATTGTTGCTGTTGTTATAAGAATATAAAGTAAATGATTGTGTAAATATAGAATAAAAACAAATTATGCTAAAACAATAATTTGTATAATAATATAAATATTATTATATTTCCAAATATTATCATTGCTCTTAATAAGAGTAAAGGACGAATTTATAGTTGTAATTAATAAATAACCACTATATGTCCTTTTTGCAGTACCAAGTAGTTGGTGCTGAAACTAGTAGCATAAACTCTTATGTTCATTATTCTATTTATGTTTATTTACATAGTAGCTCTTCAACTGTAGTCTATTATTATGTGCTTCTATTGTAGTAACACATAATCTTAAATCTTCTAACAAGATTCCTTGTTTGTTCTGTTATAATCGCACTTATGCCGTTTGTTACTTAGATAAAACTTTTTATTACTACATATTAAAATAAAAAAAAATTATTCCTTTATACAAAGTCCTTATTTTGTATTTGCATAATCAGTTGTTATATAAAGAATAATAAATAATTGTAATTAAATTTATATAATATTAATATTAACATAAAATTACTTGACTTAGATTTATATCTCACACATATAAATTTTACATGTTTATTACACTATTTTTAAAGCAACTTATTGCGCAGATTATTATTAAATTGAGTACGATTAATTATAAACTTAATGAATTTATAATTAATATAAAATAAAATTAATTATGTTCCAACTATAGTCAAGAGTTCTACCTGCAATGCAATGCAATTTAAAATTTTTTGTAATCTTTAGCACTATGCTTTCCCATAGATAGAGAAGAGCTAATAATAATAATATATATTTATAAAATAAATGTACAGTGAATGAAATGTGTATTAACTAGTAAATGGTCTATAATTTATAATATAATATTAAATTAATTATAAACTTTAGCTCGACTCTGGCTAGTAGTGCTAAGGTGTGTAACATTATTGTTAAAAATGCTTGTTATTCTTTCTTACTACATAAAGTAGAAGTAAAGGAACTACTAATATCTTTATATTAGTACATATTCAAAAATATAGTGTGTAAACTCAATAGGGTTGTGAAAATTTGTATAAACTAGTGAATCGCAAAATAAGTCCATATAATCATGATATCTGGCTTTAATCTTAGCTTTTCAGCTAATTGAAATAAACGTTGCTTAGTGACTTTTTGTTGATCCAAGTATTTTTACAATTTATTCAACACATTGTTTCAGATATATTATTTAACTGTATCAACTAAAGCACATAAAGCATTACTATTTTAAAATATTTAAATATTATTCACGGTGGTGAATATTGATAACTAATAATATAATAATGACGGCGGCCTTATCATATGCAATATATTTGTTTCATAATTATATATATTAAGTTAATTATTAAATAGAAAGTGATCTAGAGCGGTGTGTGTCTTTGTACAGAAAATTTTTTATTTCTATTATATATCGTCCATGAGAAACATTCACCCTGTGTAAGCCTCTAATATTTAAAATTATAATTCCATTTCTTATTAATATAGTTTACTTTCATCTAATGAACATGATGTTTATTTTGTCTTAGTTAAGTTTAGTATATCATTTTCAGAAGTGCTATGATCTTTGATCTAAGTTGATTTCTCAAAGATTTGAAATATTATGGACATTTTTGTCTAATAACAGAAAACAGGTATTACATGCTTTAAATGATACCGTTATTTGTATTGTTTTTGGTTCATCAGATTTGTGAACTTTGTAAAGATATAATGCGGAGATTTGGAAAAGTTTTCGATTCTAACACAAATTATCTATTCTGTAAGATATTTTGAACGAACTTTAGCGAGCGTGAAGTTATGTTTTGACACGTTGTTCGTCTGTAAGATTTTCTCCAGAATTGGGCTTCATTATTTGCTTCTATACTAAATAGTTAACTCTACGAATTTCAGTCTATACTCTGTATATAAATATACTTAACTTGATCTTCTCTAAAGCACACTTTTCTAATGTAAATAATAATAACTGGGTATGAGTTTATTATAATTACTGGTTGGTGGTTAATTAAAGACTAATTAAAATTGTGGATATAGATAAATCTATCATAAATTTTACTTGGCAATCAAATAATAAATGATTTTATAATTCTGGCTTATGATGATTTAGTATCAAAAACTACTACATTAACTGAACATTATTTTCATAGAATGGCAACTAAAAGAATTTCAGTTTTAAAAATAATTTTTCTGATAATTAAGGGAGTTCATTTCAGTTTTACGATAGATAAATAAAGGGATAGTACAAGAACTTTCAGAGTTTGCGGTGTATCAGACAACACACGTGAATCTGTAATTATAATATAGTTTGTAACGATAGTTTTTTAAGAAAGATGTGGAAATACCGATTTCTTTTGTGATTAGTTTCTTGATTATTTTTAATGTTTAGAATACGTTACCAAAAGATACAAATGCTCTAATAACCTTTTTATGATTTTATTTGGGTTTAATGTCTTTTTAAATTTTTCGTTTCGTTTATTTGGTGTAGTTAGCTGATACTTTGGATATTATTTATTTAATTGTATATTACTAAAGAATAATATAGTAATATAGTAGTGTATAAAAATAGTTATTTTTGTTAGTAATAAAAATATTATCTATGCATAAGCTAATTACTTTAATAAATGATTTTGTAAGAATGTTGGTATTGCTCCACCACTTGATGGGGTGCGATTTTGACTTAAAATTCTTGCAACAAAATGGTACCAACTACTTCTGTGTTCGACGTTCTCTCAAAGCTGCAAACATTTTTCGGCATATTTTTGTAGCAGTTTTTCAGACTATTTCTTCAGTTATTTCTCTCATTTTCAAATCAATATTACTTTTTACAAGAGTGACGAATTATACAACTAGGAAAAATAGTATGCTCCAACCACATTCTAGTTTAAATGACCTGATAATTTTGTTAGAAAAATTTTAGCTCATATGGTAAAAAGGCAATAAAAACTAAACTAAACCTGAGATTCAGTTAAAATCATGTTAAATCAATAAAATTATTTTTCTGAATGTACCTTCACAAAAAAATATATTTTGACATGTTCGGATTTGTATTGTTAGATATTATCTACATATCCACTATCATCCTGTGACAAAAAACTATGGATCCTTTTCAAAATTACCCAATATTCCTCAATAAGAAAGTGCTTTCTGTATAGGTTCTTTATTGTGAAACTCTAATATGTTATACAGTGATCATCCCAAAAATGTGTTTATGTGCCTTTTATTGTTATATTACGATATAAGAATAATATATTAATTAGTGAAATATTACGATTTTACTAAAACTAAAGCTGATCGGTTGACATTTGTATATAAACTTAGCGTTTGAGGGATTAAGAGTGATTCATATTTAACTAACCATTGCTATAAAATATTATACCGATTAAATTTGCTTCTTATATTGTTTCTATATAAATTTGTAGTTCTTATTTAAAAATTTTTCAGCTAAAAATACTCATTAACCTTTTGAAAATCATATTAAAGCATATGTTAGAATTTAAGATTTTTGATAAAATACGTTTTTTTTTGGTAATATGTAAGAGTAATTTAACCTTATTTAAGTTATCTCATACTTTTATAATTTTTTTTTTTGAGTATTCTTTTAATATAAAATCATGAAGTAGCATTAAAGCCTAATTTCTACATTAATAAAAATTTAAATGTCAGTAAATTAGTCTGATTTGCGAAATTTGATATTTTATTAAACAGTTTAAATATTTAAAAGTGAAATTAAAGTTTGGGTAAATATTAAATTTGTAGGAAAGATTTAACTTTGTTGGTTACTCTATCAGACAGAAGCGCATATACTATTAAACTTAACATATATATATATATGGACATATATATTAGTACATAAATTTACTAGGTATATTGTGTATGATGGTATAGGAGTACAAGTACAACTGCAGTTATAATTACTACCGATAATCTTAGTAGCCATTATTTTAATTATTATAATTTAACGTAGCAAGTATGCATATTATAATGAATGTGCATACAATCCGGCCATTTCAACATAAATTTCTATTTAAATCACTGGTCATATTAGAAATACACGGGAACAAGTAAACTTATGCAAGGAAATATGTACACACATACGAATGCATTAAAGGTACGAGAGAGAGAGAATAGCTATACTAAATACAAGTGCATAAGATACATTCCAGTGCATACACATAGATATATCTGTTGAAAGCTTAGAAGAAGCTGCTGCATTTACACAGTGTGATTTAATAGAATTTGTGTAATTTCATTAATTTAATATGTAGCTATAAAATGCACATTATATAAATATATATATATGTATATACTTTTTATTTATAATTTTTTTTAAAAAAAATTTTTAAATGTATCTGAAAACTTGCACAAAACCCTAACACCGGCAGCCTACATCCCCATTTTATCGGGAGCAGTAAAATAAAAGCACACAAAAAAAGTATTTTGGCGCTTATTTGCTTCCTTTTTGTACATAATGGCTTTTCCTCCTGTTTCTGTTGTTCCCACTAAAAATTGCTGTTTGCTGCTGTTGTTGTTGTTGTTGTTGCTTTTGTTTCTGCAATGTTATCCTGTATTGTGCAACATTTCCTTGCATAATTTTTAACATTGGCGGCAAATAGTTTTAGTCATTATACTTAATGTTATTTTTGTTGGTCGTTTTTGCTGTTGTGGCTGCTATTCCGATGAATATTCATGCCTGCGGCCACTTTTATAAATTTTCCTCAGTCGTTTGCATAAAGAATAAATTTAAGTTGATATATAAATTTTTTTCTCTCTCTA